AGATAGTGTGGGTTCGCAGCACATCCTTCGGCGAGAGATCATTACCCAATGGCTTGAAACTGCAATTAGCCTTACATCACTAGATATGTAGATGTTTGTAAGCTGGATTCACGTCGCAGATAACAGGTCCGGCACACATTGAAAGTCATGCATAATGCAGCCCACAAATGCACGTACTAATAACACGTCCTTAGGGCAGTAGATTGATTGACAATTTGTGACGTCATTTCGTCTATATTGGCTTGATTAATTGCGTTAACCAAATGTCGATAAACAAAGCCTTTTTTATATTCTGGTTTTTTATGTTTTAATTTGCCTGTTAAGTTTAACTGTTTTTATATATAATTTTTGTAATAGCACATCATTTGCTGGTCACAAAATAAATAATGTAACCTTTTCAGAATATGATCGAGTGTGGTATATTGTAATTCATCTCAAAAATTATTTCATGACATCACTATTTATAATATGCAACAACAAGACGTGACCAATGTTTATACCTTTTATGATTGCCTTACCATTACAAAATGGCGGCATAGCCTAAACTTGGAGTAAAATATTATGTTCTTAAATCACAACAGTGCTTCACGGTGAACCTGGGCGCAAACACAATGCATTAAGGCATTTATCTAAAGGGTACTTGGAAGGTAAGACAATAAAATAAGCAGCGGGGCCGAGGTTGGACATTTTCCCGAGATACATTTTGTGCTCGCACCGGATAACGTTTTTATTGTTAACAGGCGGAGAGCCGTGGCCACGACGAGCGACGATGATATCTCCTCGTATGAATGATGACTTCGTGCTGGGCCTCTAGAAGCAGGATCCACCGATAGACATAAACACGCGAGAAAGGGCACGAATATGGAAATTCGCTAAGTGCCATATTTAGCGACAAGAAAGCGTTTGAGTACTCGTTACAACAATACACAGAAGTAAACATAAACGTACGGAATAAAAGAAGCAAACGAAAGTGGACTGCTACCATATTAAATTCACGGTCGGAAGCTTATCTAATCGCCTACTTTAGTAATGAAATCGATATATAAATCGATTTGGTCCATTCTTTGGTCGTAACTACCAATCTGCATTTTAATCGGTATATACCGGTTGTGTCGCGTTTGGAATTTAATTTTTCTATGATGACATTTTTATTACCTCATATAAACGTGTATTAATACTCCGATGACTTTTATTCCATGAGTTTAATAATATTAAGTGAGAATAGACGTAGACTTTTGGAAATTTAATATTACATTTTAATCTTTAAACACCTGTTGATAATATTCAAATTTAAAACATAGACCATGAGTTCCCTGTGTACTACAGCGTAGTCTATGGCGAAGTCTTAAGGAGATAAGGTCGACGTTTTTAGCGCAAAGCATTTTCTGTTTCGGGCTCTTTTTGCAGATTATTCGAAAAGAAACGTGCAGTGGAGTGGCTTAAGAAAGCCATCCCTATCGAGTCGCGAGCAATATTTTCAGCCGATTATCTCTAAAATGCTCCTGATATAAGTGCTCTAAGAGATGCCCATCCTCGATTTACAAATAAGTATCACGTTGTTATGCTTAAACATAGATAGGGCCTTGCAACAGTATTCGCTGCTGAATTATGGGCAGGTCAGTCCGAGGAAGTAACACGACGTCACAGAAGACCAGCGTGGCCCCACCATACATAATTCACTTACTGCTTCAGGATTTCTTACGGTGTTTCTCACGGACATTGCATAATATACCTGGACTACGCGACGATTATCACTTAAAACTAGGTTTACCGCTATCTAGCTTGTTATTTTCTTATATTAAAAAAAACTTAATTGATAATTGATTAATAAAAAAAACCATGATACAATGTATAACATTATATATATATAATTTAGCTATTTAAATAATTGTGTTTTATATACAGTATAAAAATAACATAAATCATATTTAGTCGTGGTCAAGACAACAACTTTCTCACCATTGTAATTAGAGAAAAGATTTATTATAACAACAAAAATAAAATGTGGTATACAGCCGATTATTTGCGGTGCTGACAGCTATGAACTGACCAAGAACGTTTTACGAGTTAAATCTTTTGTCTCGCCGAATTTATGGAGGCAATAATGTAATTGCGGTGGAATTCTATTGTTTAAGCGGAGGCAGATTCCGCTTCCATTGCGGACGTTACATCGAAAAAAGTTTTCATTATTTGAAGTAATAAACCTTACACTAAACATTTCTCGTTGGGAAGTTTTAACAACCTACTGGTTGTTTTCTCGCACCCCAAAATACAATAGGTGAACCTAGCCGAGTGAAGTTTCAATAGATCATAAATTCTCGGTTCTAAACGGAAAGAAACTGATAATTGTTGGTGGTGATTCAGCCTTACATTTGTCCTAATTTGCCACAAAGTTTACCAAGACGCTTTTATTTCAACCACATTGCTTCCGAACTCCGCGCTTCATTTGAATTGTTGAAATTGAAAAGGAAGCTTTAGGTACCTGAAAAATTTCAATGGAATCCGCACTGTAAAATGATTTATTACTTCCAATTCTATATATGCAAAATACCATATATTACAAATACAACAATGATTATTATAAGTTATAACGTAGTTATTCTATGGCAATATGGATAAACAATAAAAATCTTTGGTAGAGTAATATAAAATTACTTAGCACGAAAGGTTATCGTACATTCTTTATCTGATATATTCTTTATTAAAGCCCACTCAGTGTTTGCAGTGGATATATGAAGTCAACGTCATATATTGATATCACAAAGGTTTGGTAAACGGACTATTCTACACAACAATGGCGTAGAACGTAGCCATATATCGACCAATGTCAATATTATACAACGCTCCTCGAGGAATATCGTTATAAGGACGCTTTCGGGGCTAGTTGTTACAAGATAAGTGGTAATATAGTGTTTGATGTAACCTAGTAAATATTGAGTCGTCACATCGCCACGTGATATATTGACACTCAATATTGACTGAGAATATCAATCCATCCTGGACCACTCTCGTGTGACGGCCTTGACGAGATAGCGACGTTTCCTGGAATTTCGTACCGATACTCTCACTTATATTCTTGCCTATTCTAAATCTGTTTCAACTCAGCTATATGTATTTCATTCAGTTTGAAGGCACTTAAAATCTCTTGAATTAGGATATGTACAAACAAATTCCTCAATCAATTAATAACTAGGTACCCCAAATGATGATTTCGTCGCTTTATTTGATACAAAAATCTAAATGTCAGTTATTCAACGTGCCGTACTAAAACCGTTTTAGGTGTCTTAAGAACAAAAAACGAAAATATTCGAGTAAATTTGGCTTGCAAATAAATAAGTACAAAACACTAAATCCTTTGGTTAGGCCAATAACTCGGCCTCTTAACAATATTATATAATAAGTGTGATTGAAATAAATAAAAGGAGGCTTACAGTGACTCCCACGGCAAGAGCAATTCGACACACGTGTCACAGCATCCGATGGGTTGCGATTAGGCTGTGGCGACACACGATCCCAAAACCTCGGACGACGTGCTTCCTCAGTTAACTAGCTAAAAAGAGAAACTGTTATTATCAAAAAAGCAGGCAGGGTGCTCTATACGATATATCATAATTGTCTTTAAGAATATCTGATAAGTTTTATATCCGATAAAATTTTGTTAAAGTTTGAAATACTAAATAGAAGCCCTCATAAGTTTAACTTGAGATTAAAAGGAACGGTCGGAATAACGAAATGGAATAAATGAAAATGTTTTCAACCGCTCTAGTAATTGTTTCTACTATATTCATCGAACTGCAGCCCATGTGTAAGTTAAAATGTATTAAAGTAAAAAATTACTCATAATGTATGCATGCTCACACAAATTCTAGCAATGGAATGAGGTATCTCTCGTGCTCTATAAGACCTTTCATGAAGTACATTACAATAGCATCAGGTGAAATCAACATTAATTTATTTTTGTCATTTCAAGTAAAAATTTATTTTTATTTATAATTTAAACTTTTTATTCCCGTATTCCAGTATCGCAACGAGTAGAATCAGTTTGTCAGACCTTATGTTCAGATATTCAAAAGAGCTTTTATCCCCGCTAGGTCTTTTGTTGTGCGATCAACGGAAATTCTTACAATTTACTTAAAGCTGTCAATCATTTCGACTCGAGCTAAATTCGTATATGTCCGCCCACCTATCAAAATATGATGACGTAATGGCGAATTTGATTCGAGGTGCTCAGTTTTCACGATTGGTGAAAACTGAGGCTTGCGTTCGATTCCTGGTGTTTCCAACTTTTTACTATAATCGTGAAAGTTGTAAAGTGTCCAAAATACAAAAGCATAGTAATAAAGCCCTTAAATCCGAATAAGAATTTTATTTTACTGTGTCTAAGTTACCTATTTTAAAAATTATCATTATATCTTTACTTTTGATTACTTAACATTAAACATTTAGTTTGAATTAACAATTAATATTAACATAAATATACACGTCTTGTTTATTTATCCTTATATATCTCATATTTTGCGAAATGACCATATCCTAAATGGAGAATATAAAAAGGGATTGTGTGTATTTTTATTAAGGCTTCATTTTTGTTTTTTTACCCAAAGATACATAATTTGGAACAAAATGTATAAACCTATATTCTGTGTTCAAATTAAAATAAAATTGATTTAAAAACGTTGTCCCCTGTTTGGATATATTTAATTGCAATCATCTAGCAAAAATTGCTAAACATGTTCTGATTTTATTTGTGTCGACTTTAAATTAAAAATAAAGTTAGAATAATTTCGGGACGCAAATTGTCAGACAACCAAGCAAGCTAACAAAGTAACCTGTAAAGTGGTAGGCAATCACGCGTCAAAAGCGCTTAAGATACCAGACCGACCTCCTTTGAGTTGAAACCTGAGAAGATGCATTCAATGAATCACGCAGGCCTAAGTTTTCGACGCTGCATAACCAATATTTTAGTGTTTAAAAACACGCGTGCCATCTGTTGTAAGCCGATGCAGTGCGGGTTCCACCCGTCGTCTCTACGACCCTCCGTGCCCCGCGCCCCCTCCCACCACGACACCCATGCGGCTTTCGTTCAAACTTACGTAGGTCAGTTACCGCCCGACCGCAGGGGAGTATGGCTGCGTCAAAAGTTTTTCCACGGTCGCGCAATCTCTGTTTACATTCGCTGTAAAACGAAGTGTCCAACACCGGTGTAAACAATAATAAACTGAGTTCAAAGTGAGGAAAAGTTTAAGACTGTATATCGTGCGTTACAAATGAACTGTGTTACCGTGTTAATATGAAAAGGAACTTGAATGGAATGATTTCGTTAAAAGTTTGGATTTGTTTGGTGTTGGCGGCCGGTGCGCGCGCACGCTCCGCGCCGCCCGCCCCCGCCGGCTGTCAGTGGGACTATTCGGACACAAAGTTGAGTGAATCTAACTTTCTCACGTGCAACATCAAAACCATCGGCTCCGCGGACTTCTTGTTTAAAAACATCACCACGGCGCAGGCGTACAATATCAACAAGTTGAAGTTGACATGTACGGATTTGCTATTCTTCGAGAGTTCCCTGCACATGAATACTGGCAGCTTTCTGGGACAGTTGAGAAAACTTGAGGACCTGCGCATCGAATATTGTAAAATACGCTACGTGCCTGCAACGGTTCTGTCGCCGCTGCGTGATTTAACAAGCTTGACCTTACGATCATTCAACACTGATTGGCCTGCAATGACAATGGAATTCCACGCCGAAAGTTTTCGAGGTTTGATGGAACTTCGCTCCTTGGACTTAGGTGACAACAATATTTACATGTTGCCTTCCGAAGTATTTTGTCCGCTATTTAGTTTGGAGTCGTTAAATCTCACAAATAACAGGATACAAGATATTTCCGACATTGGATTCTCTGACTGGGGTAAAGGCCCGATAGCGCCGGGCAAATCGTGTAATACGGGGCTGAAAATGCTTGATTTATCTCAAAACAATATCTTACGACTTCCCGATAACGGTTTATCAAGTCTAAGATCTTTAGAATTATTGAATATTCAAAATAACTTGATCAACGAGATCGGCGATAGAGCGTTTGTGGGATTGAATTCATTAAAAATTCTAAACCTATCGGGGAATAAATTAGTGGCCGTCCCTCCTGAACTATTTCAATCTTCGCGGGTTATCAAAGAAATCTCATTAGCGAATAATTCGCTTTCGGTTTTGGCTCCTGGTCTTTTGGAAGGCTTGGACCAACTTGAGAAGCTAGATTTATCGCGGAACCGACTTAGCAATGATTGGGTCAATAGAGACACATTCGCTGGATTGATTAGACTGGTGATATTGAATTTATCTAACAATTTACTTGCGCGTTTGGACCCGAAGTCGTTTCAAGATTTAAACAATTTGCAAATTTTAAATTTAGACAACAACGTTATTGAGACAGTAAGCAATGGTGCCTTTGCGGAACTAAAGAACCTTCACCATTTGTCTATATCGGACAACAAAATAAAAATATTAAATGAGCACATATTTTCGAACTTGTTTGTTCTTAGCCAGCTATACTTGGATAACAATGAAATTTCTACTATACACGAACATTGCTTCGAAAATATAACATACTTGCAAGATTTAGGTTTGAATGGAAACAATTTAAATAGGATTCCTGAGGGCATTAAGAGACTGAGATTCTTGAAGTCACTTGACATTGGAAAAAATAATATAACAAAAGTTTCAAACACATCTTTTGAAGGTTTAGAAGAACTTTACGGCTTGAGGCTTGTTGATAATCACATTACCAGTATACCCAAAGACACCTTCAGTACTTTGCCTTCATTACAAGTTCTGAATTTGGCCTCTAATAAAATTGAAAGCGTAGAACAAGATGCTTTTAACACAAATCCTACTTTAAAAGCGATCCGTTTAGATGGAAATAAATTGAGCGATATTCGAGGCGTCTTTAATAAATTAAATACTCTTGGCTGGCTTAATATATCTGACAACAGACTTATATATTTTGACTATAGCTATATGCCTACAAGCCTTGAATGGTTAGATATCCATAGTAACAATATAACAAAACTAGATAACGAGAAGAACGTGCAACAAAACATTCGAATGCTCGATGTCAGCTACAATGCTTTAGAGGACATAGATGAAAGGTCCGTACCGGATTCTATTGAGGTACTTTTCATAAATAATAACAAAATTCACACGATTCAGCCAGGTACGTTTATACAAAAACGAAATTTAGAGAAGGTTGTCGTGACGGATAATAAATTAAGAACCGTCGAACTATCGGCCTTCACTCTACCCCATATACCGAAACATAGATTATTGCCGAAATTCTTTATCGGAAATAATCCATTTGTTTGCAACTGTCATATGATTTGGCTACAAAAGATTAACCTTTGGAATCATATGCGACAGTATCCGAGATTCGTAGATTTAGACTCGGTTACCTGCGAAGTAGTCAACAATAAATACGGCGGCAAAGCTAATTTGATGGATGTTCCTGAAACACAGTTCCTTTGTTCATATGAAACCCACTGTTCATCTAGTTGCTTTTGTTGTGACTTTGAAGCTTGCGATTGTAAAATGACATGTCCCGAGGGCTGCTCTTGTTTCCACGATAGTAACTGGAACTCGAACGTTATTGACTGCTCTAATGTTGGATACACTGAAATACCTGAGAAAATACCCATGGACGCCACCGAGTTATACCTTGACGGCAATGACTTTGGATCTTTAGGAAGTCATTTATTTATAGGCAAGAAAAAGTTGCATAAACTTTATTTGAATAATAGTAACATCGTCACTATGGACAACGACACATTGAATGGTCTCCATTCACTTAATGTACTACATCTCGAAAACAATCGTTTGACCGAATTACAGGGAGGGGAATTTTCACAGACGAAACACTTAAGAGAGTTATATATAAGCGATAACCTCTTGACAAGTGTAGCAAACACGACCTTCAAATACTTGCCATCTTTGAGAGTTTTACACTTGCAAGGTAATAGAGTTCTCGACCTTGACAAAAAATTGATATACAACAATCATCTGGAAAGCGCAATTGTGCAAGGGAACATGTTTACTTGCACGTGCAACAACGTTTTGTCACTACAGAACTGGTTTAAGAAGTACTACGAGGATCCTGTTGACATGTTATGTGCCGACGACAATGGTGTTATAGCGAACATTACAGTGTTTGATGTGATCGATAAGTGTCGCGATTCAAGTGTAACCGATAATACAATTCCTACAGAAAACCAACCATATCAATATGATGAAGTCAGCACTATAAAGTTGAACTTTGTTCCACTCTTGGCTGTGGTCCTAATTAGTGTTATTCTTATTTTACTGTTCGGTGCCTTAGCTTTCTCTTTTAGGCAAAATGTACGCTTATGGGCGCATTCTAAATATGGTGTAAGATTGTTCAAAAGTGCGTCAATTCAGGAGAGTGAACTTGACAGAGATAGATTATACGATGGTTATGCTGTGTATAGTTTATTAGACGATGATTTTGTTTCTAAAGTAGTTGCGCCTGAAATGGAGCACTCGGGTTATACAGTGTGTTTTCATTATAGGGACCTTCAACACGCTCCAGAGAACTATCTTGCTGAACAAATAACAAACGCAGCGGAGTCGTCTAAGAGAATATTAGTATTCGTGTCGTTTAACTTTTTGCAAAATGAATGGTCCAAAGTATCATTTAAGGCCGCCATTAAACACATCATCACCTCTATCCATCCTTCCATTAGGCGGCACAGAGTAGTTTTCATTTTAACGACAGATGTTAGCGCTCTAAATTTAGACGTAGATTTTCAGAATTATTTAAAAACGTGCCACGTCCTTCTCTGGGGCGAAAAGAAGTTTTGGGAGAAAATTAGGTTCGTGATGCCCGACATTTCCAATTTGCAATGGAACAAGGACAATTTGAACTACAATCACGGCGTGTGTCCCAACGCTAGACGGCACCCGTCTAGATACACAGCGTCACCCACTGCGCCGGAGCTGTGGTACAAATACGACGCGATCCCAGCGCAAACGCAGACCAACGTCAACATCGGCGTTAACGTAGAGGACGACACCTCAATGCTGACGAACACAACGTTGACCAGTCAGGTCCAAGACGGCGACAATCCCCATCACAGCTACATTTCAATAGACGCCCAAAACTACGAGCAGCCATACGGTGGTCGCCCGAGACCACCGAACTCACTTCGTAAGCATCCCGGCCACAGTTCCCCTTCCATGTTAGACGACCAGGGCTACTTACAACCCCGCTCCTCCGTGCATGAGTGCTTACCGCAAACCCATTCGGCCGCACACAGATGATAACACACCCCGAAATACACCTTATCTCTCAAAGGATATTCCTTTATGGAACATCACATTCCAAACACATGTGTAAACTGATGTGCTTTTAAGTTGGCCATGCCTTAAAAACGTGATAAACCGCTTCGTGTGTTACATATATCGGCCAAGCTTAAACCATCGATAATCTGTCGTGTTCATAGTTCATATTAAGTCATATTTATTAAGACTGTTGTTAAATAATGTAACATTTTATATTAGAGCTCTAACTGTAAATTTTAACAATAAGTTTATGATGTAACCACTGTAATAACATACTAACGACTACTACAAAGAAAATATGTGTAACTTTTGTACATTAAGACTGAAACAAAAATAATTAATAGATTTACGGATTATATTATTGCCAGTATCAAATCTGTATATATAAGTGTATTTTGATAGTCTATTACGTCATTGTTACCAAATACTATGTGTATAGATTAAAAGTTGTATAAAAATGTATAATATATGTAACTAGTCATTATTTAACATAACTCAAATGTCAATACTTGTAAATAAAAATTCGTCATAGGCCTGATAATACCTATCTTTGTATTAATATGTATGAATGCAACCTGCCTTATAGGATATAATTAGTTTATATAATACCGAAAAGTATTGTCAAGCTTGTGAATAGACGTACCAACTAATTATCATTTTGTCAACTGTTAATCGTGCTATTAAATTAAAAGTTAAATAATTTATGAGAATACATTGTTTTAATTATAAAAAGTCCACAATACATATCTCAATTTTAAAGTAAATAGTTAAAGTCCACAAATACTGCAAAACAGTTTTTCGATATGAACAAGTTAATTTAATACTTATTAAATATATGAATAGATAATTAGAAAACAGGGTTATTAAACTATTAATACCTAAAGTTTTTATAACAATTTTATATTTTCACCGACAAAGGCACAACAAAGAATCATAAATAAATGGAAATATAGTAAAAATAACAGTATCCCAAACCAGTAAAATAAAAAAGGCGTCCGTTGAGTCTTAACAATATGGAGAAAAAAGTAACCAGAATGATCCCGGCGTGCCGAAAATCATCGCAGGCCATAATGATGGTCCCTTTTCAGGTAGAAAACGCGCCTGCCTCATATATTTCAATGGTCACGGGCATCCTACGGTAGGTATAAAAGTGATTTACAATACACTATTCGAAGCTAGTTATGGTTCCCATTAATGTGACCTTCTATTGGACGCGACCGAAGAGCGGTTATTGATTTTTTATAATAGTTTTCAAAGTGTCGGACCGGCCGCTGGCGGCATATGGTGTGACACACTTTGAATGACCGCTTGGCCGCTTTTAATTTTTTCCCCTACGAAGTCCACAATGGATAACGTTCCTCAGGCAACTGACACTGTTTTCTTTTCCTCTAAAGTAACATTTTCATCGCGTAGACCTCGAATTTAATATTACCATTGGCAGTATATTAAGTTTTTAACACGACGAAAGTTATAATGAATATTATAAGTACGTGTTTAAGAGTGTGACTGGAATTGCTACATATTCCCGGTAGCTTAGGGTATCGTCTTTTCTTCAATGTTTCCATGCAATCTCGGTTATTATAAAGTAGCAGACATACTTCGTATCATAAATACAAATGTAATGTCCGACAACCCCAACCTGGAAGCGTTACAGGACGTTTGCCTTACAGATTTTAATTCATAATACTAGAGCTAATTAAACAAATAAATTATTTTTAAATTTATTATTTTCTCGAAAAATTTTCTGCTTGTATTATGAGAAACCACACAGTAGATCTTATGGAAACCTAAATAAAAAATAAAATGTCCTATCGTCTCCCTTGAACCTCCCTTTTAGATAAGTGGGTGCAATTATACACGAATATTGTATATATTAATAATTGAAGCGAAAACTGCATACCTTTTTTTAAACATTGTCGCACGGAAAAGTATGAGATTTGGCATTTATTTTTGGTATTCATGTTATAAAGAGACTAATAAATATTATATAGATACGTGATACAAACACAAAGTAAAACATTCATCGTTTACGTTCAATCATCAATCATCAATCAATGTCAAACGCATAATAGACTTGTGAAACAGTTTCACAGGGGTATCGTCGCAAAATATTTTTAAAATGCTAAACATTTGACAAAAATAATAATTCATTTAATTTACTGTTGGATTCCTACCAATAGGCAACAGCCTTAAGGGTTTCGGAAATTTTGTCTAAACATATTAAAATACACTATGAAAATGATTCTATACTTTACTACGGTTTACTCTAAAACTACTACTCTCTTTTTTTTTTTGAAGTATGAAAACATATCCAATACCATACAAAAATTAATTCGTTTAATCCGTTTGAAACAGTCAACGAACTTTTTGTCTAAGACTAGGGGAAATTTCTCTAGTGCTCATTCAACTTTTTTAATCTGTTAATCTATGCGTAACTGCACCAAATTCGATAAGGGTAAAAGTTCCCTTTGCCCGAAGTTATCTTTAGTACGCCCCTAATCTATTTCTGGTCGAGTTTATCAAAATCTTGAGATTATGAACCTATCTCAGGATTTCACGGTTAAATGCATCATTGGATCGTTTCCAATGTGTCCCTCGCAAATAGACAAGAAATTAGCCACAGATCCGTAATCCCTTCTGTACTTTGGCATATAATAGCTTATCGCTTATTCGAGACACAATTCATCGATATTTTATGTATTAATCCACCATCATACGACCAATATTTGCTATTATTTAAGCACTGTTAATAAATGAAAAAGTACCAAAGATAAATGCAAGATTTAAACACTGGAAAAATCTAAATGTCAAATACAAATAAAACCGAGTCGATCGGATCTTATATCGTTATTAAAATTAGATTGATCATAATTTATATTACAATATATTTAAGGTAGGTATTATGTTTATTTTAAGCAAGATCAAGACCAAGAGTATTTTACGAGAACAGCGCTGGCTCAATGTTTGCTGGAAAATAGCAACGATGATTGTAACATTGTTAGATTTAATATTCTATTCAAGGTTTGTTTGTTTATCAAGTCGAAGTTTCGTGTTCACCCGAACAAACCGGGCAACAAAGGAACCGGATATCTTCTGGCTGGGTCTTATCGGTGCACCGTCGTGGCGTTTGAACGACGTCTCGCGGCCAAGGTCGCAGCAGTTCCCCGCGGGATAAAACCCGAGCTGGTCAACTCGCGCCGCCCGCTGTTCCTACATGACGTTTCACACCTCGGGCCGCCGAGGCCGGCGTGGGGGTCACGTCCCCTCACTGAGAATTCGACCGGCAGTCTCGGTCGCGATCGGTTCGTGACAAACCGAGATACTTATCGTGATTGTTTTCCGATCCGGACGCCCGCCGTAAGGACGAGTGGGAGCCTGGGAACGCGGCTCTAGTCGGCCCTAAGTGAATTATTGTAAGTCAAATATGGAGATCTGTTTGCCGAGCGATGATCGAGGTTACGCCCCGGGGCGTTGTTTGTCTATTATAATTTTATCGCGTGATTGACGTCAAATCTTAATGGAATCTCGAATCTATTGGTGGGGGAAGCGGGCGGACAAAGCGTATTGTTTTATGTATATTCCATATTCAGTGTTTTATACAATTTTAATCTATGAAAGAATCGTTAACGAATGTATGAATGTTTCTTTTTTTTTTTTAAAGTGGCAACCGTGTAGAGTAATCGATGTAATAATGCGCTGCTCAACCTTAAGATAGTGTGGCTGGTTATTTTGTATTCTCCAGACGAAATGTATGACGATATTGTTCTACTACCTACTTCTGTTGTATATTGCTCTACTATAACATCAACCAAGCAAAGAAGACATTACAACACCATATATATAATTATGTTTATGTTTTTTTTTTTTACATTTGAGCTTTTTTTCATTTCACAAGTTCTGTTTTCAAATTAATAATCATTTGTAGCTCATAATTACACCTAATTGAGAACATATGCGGTGCACATATGGTAACCATATATTTAAGAGGACTACTTTCAGCCATTAACAATCTAGTATAAATGCTCATTATATCGTCGGTATTTTTGATATACAAATTTACAATGTTCGTTATTGTTCCAAAGGTATAAAGAAGCATTTATTTGTAGCATATGAGAGAATACGCAGTAATGATAAGCCTTTTATATTAATTGCTTAGTTAAAATAAGTAATCAGTATTCAGTGACATTAATGTCTTCAAATTAGTAATAGAACAATAAATACTGTTCATCGGTTGTAATTAATTAGCAAATTATAACAAAATCACCGTAATTAGTATCCATTTACTTCATATGTACTCGTATCAATCAATAGTTTTTGAATGAGATAGTATAATTAAGGAAACGAATATTCCTTTTTATGTGGCTACTTTAAGATGACCAAGTAAATCATTAGTGTCACATTACAAAATGACGCATTAAGTTTTATACTCCATTTTAACGTCCCATTAAAGTAAATTGGGTTATGGGAATTTGATTCCGGGCGAATCACGGTAAATCACGATAAAAGTACCGTCACGAAGTCTTTGGAAAAAGTGTGACAGTGGGAAAATACGCAGTGATTCCAATATCCTGAAACCCGTCCACCGAGCATGACTTATTACCGTGAACGATAGTTGTTAGATAGAAAATAAAACTATTTGTGCATTCCAGTAGGCGATGCTCGTCCTACGGAGCTTACAAATCCCCCTGTTCCCTCAACTAGGCCATAAACGTTTGACGTAAGAATATAAATCTGCGAAATCCCGCTTTCAACATTATATCCGTTTGAGTTATTGAGAAATATAAATTTAGAGAAGCAGCACTTCAAATCTAAGACTCAAGTTTTGTGTAAACATTTTATTGGCTCTCCTTGATTAAAGATGAAAATAACTTGGATGGTTTGTTAACTTTCCTTTCAGCTCTGATTTAACATTTCCCAGATTAGCATTAATGTTTGAGTGTTTACTTAATTATTAATAATTATATTTGATAATTAAAATAAAACCTTCTTCAGTATTTTCCCGTCATAATATAATTACCATATTATTCCGTACAAGGTATCAGTACAAGGTTGCACTATGCGGTTCTAAAGTCAAAACACGTTGAAGCTACTAAAATATAAACTTAGGCGAGTAAAGATTCATTCATACGTTTAAAGTAACATTTGAAACTATCGATAAGCTTAACTCAATTGGTAAAACATCTGGGCGCGTAACCAGATGACTCAGGTTCGAATCCCGCAGAGCTCAAAGTTTTTGTTCGTTCAAAAATTTACAATTGAAAATAAATCAAGTACTTATAGAAAAGCGATATTTGTGTTTCTGCTGGCAAATTTTAAATACGTGGCGCAGTCGTCAAGATATTGGCTTCGGTGTCGGGGGTCGTGCGTTCGATTCCCACACGGGGCTACTATTTGTGTGTGTGTGACCCACAGATAGTTGTTTCGCATCTGGGTGTTTGTCCACGTGAAATTTATGTTTGTAAAACGTCGTTGCAACACAGGATAATGTTATCCTAAAGTGAGGACAATGTTATTAAAAATGAAACAAAAAAAAAAGACTGCCTAGCGATTTTTAATAGTCCTCGATAATAATAACTCACTGCTACATTAAACAATTATGAGTACCAACCGATTTCCGTTTTTTTTATCTTGTCCAGTGCAAGCTACTTCCTTTCTATCGGGTATTGGGAATTAAGAAAATTTGATAATAGTTCCCTAGCATCATCCTTGACAACTAACAAAACTTTTGTCACGATGGGTTAACCTACTCTACATTTCTTGCTAAATGAAAAAAAATATTTGACAACTTTCGTGTTCGATTTAATCAAATTCCTGAGAAATATCCCACGATACTAGGTCACAATTTTCAGGCAAAGTTCACATGGAGTGTTTAATTGCGCTAGTGTTAAGTGCAACTTGAAACTGGCGTGCTCGTATTATGAAATCTTTTTTCTCTTTCAAACTCAACTGGTGAAGGAGTGCGGTATATAAAACGGTTTGAGTTAATGTGCGGAGGTTTTGATTTAATTGCAGAGACACAGAAGAATCCCGATTATCCGAATCAAATAAAACCAGTGTTATTCCGTATAGCCGAAAATCCGGATAATCGATTTCAAAGTGGCATCAAATAATAATTACGATGTAAAAAAATCGAGTAGTAATTTAAAATTTTGGTAGAATTTTTGGAAATTGGCTTTAAAAATTTTGGTTGACGCCGTCAAATCATTTCTAGTTCGGTGTATTACAACGACTACATCTACTCTTCAAGACTACAGTGAAAATGATTCCGAGCGTTTACTTAAAACTGCCGCAACTCTTACCATTACGTCAAATGCTCACATGCGTTAGACACTTCGTGATATGTATGACGATAACAACCGATTTGATTTTTTTTTTACTTTTACCCAAATTCAAATATCTTTATTCAATATAGAAGCATTACACTTACTTATTGATTGTCAACTTCTTCAACAAAACACAACTACCGGTTCGGAAAAAAAGGCACTGACCTAAGAAGAACCGGCGAAAGAAAGTCAGCGGGACATTTTTTTTAATGTAGGTAATTTGACAAAAAAATAACAAAGGTGTACAATTTATTAAATTCCATTTGAAAGAGCCTGGAGCGATCAATTCATTTTCAGAGTACGTAGTGTCCCCTCCTTTAGGAAAAGATAATCCAGTGCGTCAAAATCATTTAATAAGCACAAATCAAAGAACACGCACCCAGAGTTACCTTTGCATTTTCTTAGTCATCACAATGATTCTACTAACTCCATGAATACACTCACTAAAACCAAGGCATTACGAATGGAAATCGGAATGTTTGCTCGGAAACCAGAGCGCCTTTTATGTCCCGAGTGACAGGATTTCGCTCAAGTTATTCCCAGGTCCATAATTACAGCCTTTCGACCGGGTCTCAAGTTTGAGGGCCACACCCCCAAATGTAACCTCACTGTATTACTTTGAGCGTGTTGCAGTCAATATCGTTCAGGAGAAAACGAGTTACCTTTAGCGATTCCGTTTCAATGACTCATTGCGACTTAAGAAATAGGCGGAAAGTTATTTCGGTGATTCACGTCCACCCTTAAATTTTACAGTCGCTTTTGAATCGCTAACGTCGACCTGAGCGAGTTTAGTGAGGCTAAGTGGTTTTGAAATGTATCAAAGAATGTTATTAAAAAAAGAAATATAGAAAGAAATTAATATAGACAACTTGATGGCTAAAAGTAGAATAACATAAATAAGAAATTACCAATTATTATTTTTTTTGTTTAAAATAAATTGTTGACAGATTGTTTACAGAATGTATCTTAGCGATATAAGCACAATTAAAACACAATAGTAACAATAATGAATATATTAGCGCTGAAATCGACAAAAAGTTTTGATCACATTACATAACTTATCTTTGTTAAAATTCATAACCATCCCAGTCGAGTCTATCTACAATAGTTACGACTTTATTACGCATATACAAACGTCTACGGTTTGTTATTAACTAATTGCAAATTAACATGATTATATTTACTCATCAATTACTTCTGATGAGTAATTTATTAAGTCTCAATGTAATTATGTCACTACATAGTTAAGGCAGGTATTAGTTAAATTCTATTTTACGTAATGATATAAAATGTGTATGTTTCTGAGAATAATTTATTACAAATTTTAATAAATCAGGGGAATAACTTTTCTTTTTTTATGCGAAAAGTTGCCAAACGAGCAGACGGGTCACCTGATGTTAAGTGAATACCGCCGCCCATGGACGTCTGCTACATCCAAAGGTTACAGATGCGTTGACAACCTTTTGAAAACTGGGCTCCGGCTACCTCACTCACCAGACGAAACGCGAAAGTATTTGTCATACTTCCACTTTACGCTGGTCTTCTGTGAGGTCGTGGTACTTACCCGGACGGGCCTGCCCATTCGTGCAACAGCCGAGGCTGCTGCGTGACCCTACCACCGTTATACTATCCAAACAAAAGGCTTAAAGTATTATTTCATAATAATATTGCAGAATATTAAGTAATTATTGATAAATCAGTGAAATAACTATCCAAAACAACAGATACTTTAGCATCATTTCATAATCATACTGAAGAATATTAAGATTTAATTGAACGTAAATTAATCACGAAATAATTTAACCTATCAAAATAGGTTCTCTCATCTTGTATTAACTGATGTTTTTGCTTTCAGTCCCGAGACTATTAAAGCTTCATCTGACGCAGAACCGGTGGGCTAGCCAGAACCCACGGGTTTGGACCCTCCGCTATGGGTAGGGTCAGGTTCTCTCAGTATCTCCTTATGAACATTGACTTAGATGAATGACAGAGATAATTGAAGAGCACGTTCGAAAATGAAAAAGTTCTCAAATATCGCTCTTTCTTGGCGCAACGGTCGTTTTGAGC